GTTCGAGACCTGGTCTGAGAGGATCCCATATGTCGCAGAGTAACTGGGCCCGTGAGCCACAACTACTGAGCCTGCGCGTCTGGAGCCTGTGCTCCGCAACAAGAGAAGCCGCAATAGTGAGAGGCCCGCGCACCGTGATGAAGAGTGGCCCCCGCTTGCCGCAACTAGAGAAAGCCCTTGCACAGAAACGAAGACCCAACACAGCCAAAAGTAAAACAAAAAATAAATAAAAAATGATAATAAAAATAAAGGAATTCCTTTAAAACAAACAAACAAACCCACAACAACTAAGAAAGTGGTAATAGGAACATACATATCGATAATTACCTTAAATGTGAATGGATTAAATGCTCCAACCAAAAGACACAGGCTCGCTGAATGGTTACAAAAACAATAGCCATATATATGCTGCCTACAAGAGACACACTTCAGACCTAGGGACACACACAGACTGAAAATGAGGGGATGGAAAAAGATACTCCATGTAAATGGAAATCAAAAGAAGGCTGGAGTAGCAGTACTCATATCAGATGAAATAGATTTTAAAATAAAGAAAGTTACAAGAGTCAAGGAAGGACACTACATAATGATCAAGGGATCAATCCAAGAAGATATAACAATTATAAGTATATATGCAGGCAACATAGGAGCACCTCAATACACAAGGCACTGCTAACAGCTATAAAAGAGGAAGTGGACACTAACACAATAATAGTGAGGGACTTTAACACCTCACACCAGTGGACAGATCATCCAAACAGAAAATTAATATGGAAACACAAGCTGTAAATGGCACAACAGACCAGACAGATTTCATTCATACTTATAGGACATTCCATCCAATTACACTTTCTTCTCAAGTGCACATGGAACGTTCTCCAGGATACATCACATCTTGGGTCACACATCAAGCCTCAGTAAATTTAAGAAAATTAAAATCATATCAAACATCTTTTCTGACCACTATGCTATGAGATTAGAAATCAGTCACAGGGGAAAAAACGTAAAAAACGCAAACACATGCCTAAACCGTACGTTACTAAAAAACCGTGAGGTCATTGAAGAAATCAAAGAATACCTAGAGACAAATGACAATGAAAACACGATGATCCACAACCTATGGGATGCAGCAAAAGCAGTTCTCAGAGGGAAGTTTATAGCAATACAAGCCTGCCTCAAGAAACAAGAAAAATCTCAAATAAACCATCTAACCTTACACCTAAAGGAACTAGAGGAAGAAGAACAAACAAAACCCAAAGTTAGCAGAAGGAAAGAAATCATAAAGGTCAGAGCAGAAATAAATGACATAGAAACAAAGAAAACAATAGCAAAGATCAATAAAACTAAAAGCTGGTTCTTTGAAAAGATAAACAGAATTGATAAACTATTAGCCAGACTCATCAAGAAAAAGAGGGAGAGGGCTCAAATCAAGAAAATTAGAAATAAAAAAGGAGAAGTTACAACAGACACCGCAGAAATACAAAGCATCCTAAAGGACTACTACAAGCAACTCTATGTGAATAAAATGGACAACCTGGAAGAAGTGGACAAATTCTTAGAAAGGTATAAGCTTCCACAACTGAACCAGGAAGAAACAGAAAACATGAAGAGACCAATCACAAGTAAGGATATTGAAACTGTGATTAAAAATCTTCCAACAAACAAAAGTCCAGGACCACATGGCTTCACAGGTGAATTGTATCAAACATTTAGACAAGAGCTAACATCCATCCTTCTCAAAGTGTTCCAAAAAACGGCAGAGGAAGGAACACTCCCAAACTCATTCTATGAGGCCACCATCATCACCCTGATTCCAAAACTGGACAAAGATACTACAAAAAAAAGAAAATTACAGACCAATATCACTGATGAATATAGATGCAAAAATCCTCAACAAAATACTAGCAAACAGAATCCAACAACACATTAAAAGGATCATACAGCATGATCAAGTGGGATTTATCCCAGGGATGCAAGGATTCTTCAATATACGCAAATCAATCAATGTGATCCACCATATTAACAAACAGAAGGAGAAAAACCACACGATCATCTCAATAGATGCAGAAAAACTTTTTGACGAAATTCAACACTCATATATACTAAAAACTCTCCAGAAAGTGGGCAAAGAGGGAACCTACCTCAACATAATAAAGGCCATATATGACAAACCCACAGCGAACATCATTCTCAATGTGAAAAACTGAAAGCATTTGCTCTAAGATCAGGAACAAGACAAGGATGTCCACTCTCGCCACTATTATTCAGCATAGTTTTGGAAGTCCTAGCCACGGCAATCAGAGAAGAGGAAGAACTAAAAGGAATACACATTGGAAAAGAAGAGGTAAAACTGTCACTGTTTGCAGACGACATGATACTATACATAGAGAATCTTAAAGATGCCACCAGAAAACTACTAGAGCTAATCAATGAATTTGGTAAAGTTGCAGGATACAAAATGAATGCACAGAAATCTCTTGCATTCCTGTACACTAATGATGAAAAATGTGAAAGAGAAATTAAGGAAACACTCCTATTTACCATTGCAACAAAAAGAATAAAATACCTAGGAATAAACCTACCTAGGCAGACAAAAGACCTGTACTCAGAAAACTGTAAGACACTGATGAAAGAAACTGAAGATGATACAAACAGATGAAGAGATATACCATGTTCTTGGACTGGAAGAATCAATATTGTGAAAATGACTATACTACGCAAAGCAATCTACAGATTCAATGCAATCCCTATCAAATTATCAATGGCATTTTTACAGAACTAGAACAAAAAATCTTAAAACTTGTATGGAGACACAAGAGACCCTGAAATAGCCAAAGCAGTCTTGAGGGAAAAAGAGCAGGAGGAAGCAGGCTTCCTGACTTCAGACTATACTACAGAGCTACAGTAATCAAGGCAATATGGTACTGGCACAAGAACAGAAATACAGATCAATGGAACAGGATAGAAAGTCCAGAGATAAACCCACGCACCTATGGTCAACCTAATCTATGACAGAGGAGGCAAGGATATGCAATGGAGAAAAGACAGTCTCAGTAAGTGCTGCTGGGAAAACTGGACAGCTACACGTAAAAGAATGAAGTTAGAACACTCCCTAACACTGTTCACAAAAATAAACTCAAAATGGATTAGAGACCTAAATGTAAGACTTGACACTATAAAACTCTTAGAGGAAAACGTAGGAAGAACACTCTTTGACATAAATCACAGCAAGATCTTTTTTGATCCCCCTCCTAGAGTAATGGAAGTAAAAACAAAAATAAACAAATGGGACCTAATGAAACTTAAAAGCTTTTGTACAGTAAAGGAAACTACAAACAAGATGAAAGACAGCCCTCAGAATGGGAGAGAATATTTGCAAAGGAATTAATGGACAAAGGATTAATCTCCAAAATATATAAACAGCTCATGCAGCTCAATATTAAGAAAAACCAAACAATCCAATCAAAAAATGGGCAGAAGACCTAAATAGACATTTCTCTAAAGAAGACACAGGGATGGCTAAGAAGCACATGAAAAGCCGCTTAACATCACTAATTATTAGAGAAATGCAAATCAAAACTACAATGAGGTATCACCTCACAGCAGTGAGCATGGGCATCATCAGAAAATCTACAAACAACAAAGGCTGGACAGGGTGTGGAGGAAAGGGAACCCTCTTGCACTGTTGGTGGGAATGTCAATTGATACAGCCACTATGGAGAACAGTATGGAGGTTCCTTAAAAAACTAAAAATAGAATTACCATATGACCCAGCAATCCCACTACTGGGCATATACCCAGAGAAAACCATAATTCAAAAAGACACACGCACCCCAATGTTCATTTCAGCACTATTTACAACAGCCAGGTTATGGAAGCAACCTAAATGCCTATTGACAGACGAATGGATAAAGAAGATGTGGTACATATATACAATGGAATATTACTCATCCATAAAAAGGAACAAAATGGCGTCATTTGTAGAGACATGGATGGATCCAGAGACTGTCATACAGAGTGAAGTAAGTCAAAAAGGGAAAAATAAATATCGCATACTACCGCATACATGTGGAACCTAGAAAAATGGTACAGATGAACCGGTTTGCAGGGCAGAAATTGAAACACAGATGTAGAGAACAAACGTATGGACACCAAGCGGGGAAAGTGGCGGGGGGTGGTGGTGGTGGTGTGATGAATTGGGAGATTGGGATTGACATGTATATATACACTAATATGTATAAAATGCATAACTAATGAGAACCTGCCGTATAAAAAAAAAAATACAAAAATTCAAAAAAAAAAAAAAAAAGACACTGTGCTAAGGGAAACAAGCCAGTCACAAAAACCCAAATTCCTTATAATTCTACTTACAGGAGGTCCCTACAGTAGTCCATTCATAGAGACAGAGAGCACAATAGGGGTCGCTAGGGGCTGGGGGAGGGGTCGCTAGGGGCTGGGGGAGGGGTAATGGGGAGGTGCTGTTTGAAGAGCACAGAATTTCAGTTTGGGATGAAGAGTTGTGGGTTTATGACAGTGATACTGCAGAATAATGTGGATGTATCAATACTTAACACTATAGAACTGTACACTTTAAAAAAGTTAAGATGGTAAACTTTGCTATATGTATTTTACATATAACTAAACGTTACCATGAAGATGAGGTTGTCAAATGGTCAGGGTGATGGACTGCCAGGGTGGTGGCTTTGGATTTACCTTGGGTCTGATTATTGGCTATGACACCGAACAGCTTCATGACCCCTATGCAAGTCAAATCTCTGTCGCCCTCTCTATCTGTATAAGGGGGATATACAACCCCTCGGGGTTGGGTGGGGGGGGTCGTAAGAATTAATGATGTAAATAAGAGACATGCTCAAAACAGTCTTCATTCAGGTTCCTCCCAACCCTGCCATTAGATGGAAGATTCAACTGTGCCCTCTACTGGACAAACTAAAGACAAACAGGGCCCTGTGAGCCATGTCATGGATATAGGGTGCATTTACCTTATTATCTCCGCCTGAGACAGCAAGGATGTTGGCTGTGATGGACCAGCTCACATGCCATACAACATCATTGAACTTGTGCAGCAGTTTGGGGGACCACGCATTGCCCGAGGCATCATCACAGGTCCAAATGAACACTCGACCATCCTGGGAAAAGACAGGCTAGAGTCAGGAGATGGCAGCAATCCTGCCCTGGTGATATCCTCTCAATCTGGAGCTACATTGGACTTTCGGAGGAATAGGGTGGGGGATTCAGGGCAAAGCACAGCCAAGGACCTCCTCAGCGTTCACAGCTTTGAGGACTAATTTCCAGCCCAGCACCCTTGCTTTTATCCCTTTACCCCAGGAACACACTTCAAATTGGTCAGGAGTCTCCCAGGTTCCTTTCCTCATACTGGTTTCATTGTCCGCACCGCTAATTCTCAAATTTTCTCTGGGGCTTTCCTCACATCTGCCAAGTAACTTCGTTGTTTTGGCTCCCTCTGGCTCTGTACTTTCTCAACTGAATGGGTATAGCTGTCTAAATGCCAAGCTCAGAGAATGAGATGGGACCAAAAAAACAAGACAAAACACACACACACACCAAAACAAACCAAACTAAAACAGAACAAACGGAATTATCTTTTACATCATTTAAGCCTGTTCTACTTGGTCCTCTCAAATTTAGGACCAAGTAGAAAAGGCTCAAATGATGTAAAAGGCCAGGCTTAACTCTCATCTTGGGTGGTAGCATATAATTAACGGCTTATCCTTGGTCTTACTTTTGTTATCTGTCTGGCAATATGTGATAGTGAGTAGGTAGATGAGCCCCATTTCCCATTGTTCCTGGTCCTTGCTTGGGAACACTCTCAGAATGATGCCTGGGTACCTCCATTCCCTATCCACAAAAGGGTCAGGAGGGGAAACTAGTCCTGAATTTGGTCTTGGTCTTGCTCTTGGCTCAGTGGAAAGCCACTGTGGCTTCTGACCAAGACTTCACTGCGTGACGACAGTGCTCCAGGTGCTCCCTTATTGACAATGGTCTATAGTTGCCTGTCTCCTGCCCCTCCCCTTCAAGGATTTCCCCTAGGAGAACTGTAAGGGCTGATGGGACTTCCTGAGATTAACTAACACAGGATGCTTGCACAGGTCTGAGCTGACCTGGGAGCAGCTGGCGATGGTGCTGGTGGGCAGGCCGATGGAGGGGGCCCAGGCCACATCTCGAACCCAGTCACTGTGCGCTTCCAACTTCTGCTCTTCCTTCCACTGGCCGTCCTCTTCCTCCCTAACAGGGGAGATGGTGGGGAGAATTCAGCAGGCAGCAGCCCAGGTGCCATTCCCACACCTCCATTCCCCCACCCCCACCCCACAGGCTCCACAGGGGTGGAGAAGCTATTCCACCTTTCTGATAACATTTGTTGAAGCTACAGAATTTTATTCAGTTCACCAGCTATAAAGAAGCCCTCCAGGAAATGCTCTGTTCCTCCACAGCCAACAAGTTGGCTCTAGCAGTTGTGAATTAGGAAGAGTCAAAGCTCCTGAGTAAAGGGAACATTTACTTTTGGAAGTTTACTTTTTTGTTTTTGTTTTTAAAAAGGATGTCCTCTGAGAGACTGAAGACAGTATTCTATGGGCAGAAGGGAAAAAGACAGTTGATCCCGTTTCTGGTGAACTGAGGTTGAGTCATGGTAGGGTAGAAGGTGAGAAGTGTCCCCTTGAGAAGTTCACCAACCCCACTTACTTCCACAGTTTGATGAGGTTGTCACAGCCGCCTGATGCAAACTTCTTGATGTAGTTGGGCTTCTGCCCAGATGGCTGGTCTATGAGGCTTCCAGGTACCACAGCAGGGGCCCAGCTGACGGCATTGCAGCCAATCTGTAAGGAGGGGGAAGGGGGACTTGTGGTGACTCTGTCCCTTTGCCTGGCAAAAGGATACTGCTTCTGCAGACCCAACGCTAAGGTTTATTCCCTCTGCAATTCTCAGGACTGGATTGCGCAGGACAACTGTTTTAATGAACTAAGGATTAGCCATCCAGAACTCCTCTTCAAGGATTCCTAACAGTGCATGTATTGTTCAGCAACATGTATTTAAAGAAGGAATTAGGGGATCTCAGGAATCTAAGAAAAGAACATTTTCCAAACATATGAAGGGACGGCACAGATTCAGAAAAACCACACAAAGTAAATATATGGATTAATGAATTACTCTAAAGCACTCTTGTAATCACTCCCAGGTCAAGAAATAAAACGACCATTTACCCAAGAAGCCCTATCATGTATGTCCTACCTGAATCACAGCCCCTCTGTTCTCCTGTAAGTAACCATTATTTTGATTTCTAATGTCTATTTTTTTAGCTTTGTCATCCAAATGTGCATCCCTAGGCACTAGTTTAGTTTTGCCATTTAAAATTTTGTTTAAATTGCAATATTCTTTTTTATTGAAATACAGTTGATTTGCAATACCATGTTACTTTCAGGTGTATAGCAAAGTAATTGAGTTATACATATACATTGTCCATTATAGGTTATAACCAGATATTGAATAGAGTTCCCTGTGCTATACAGTAAATCCTTGTTGGTTATCTATTTTATATACAGTAGTATGTATCTGTTAATCCCAAACTCCTAATTTATCCTCCTCCCTTTCCCCTTTGGTAACCACAAGTTTGTTTTCTTTTTTTTTTTTTTGGCCATGCCATGCGGCATGCGGGATCTTAGTTCCCTAACCAGGGATCGAACCTGTGCCCCCTGTATTGGGAGCATGGAGTCTTAACCACTGGACCACTAGGGAAGTCCTATAAATTTGTTTTCTATGTCTGTGAGTCTGTTTCTGTCTTGTATCATTTTTTTTTAAGATTCCACATATAAGAGAGATCATATGATATTTGTCTTTCTCTGACTTAACTTCACTTGTATGATAATCTCTAGGTCCATCCATGTTGCTACAAACGGCATTATTTCGTTCTTTTTATGGCTGAGTAATATTCCATGGTAAATATGTACAGCACATCTTCTTTATCCATTCGTCTGTTGATGGACACTTAGGTTGTTTCCATGTCTTGGCTATTGTAAACAGTGCTGCTGTGAACGTTGCGGTGCATGTATCTTTTGGAATTAGAGTTTTTGTATGATTACAAAATGGTGATACTGTCATTCTATTCATTTCTTTGTCATTTATTACATGGAATACTCTAAACAGGGGCAATTTCACTCATTAACATTTGCTTCCCCAGGGGTACAGATCAGATAAGAAAGGCAAGATAAATGCTTGATTCTTTCTGAACAAGTTCCGTCATTCTCCAAAGATGACTGATTCTCTTTTAAATATCAGGATGAACTCATGGAGTTAAGCATATTTGACAGGTTTCAGTTCACTGCCATTATTCTATTTTTTTACACTCAAACTGCCCATCTTTGGCAGTGTGAGCCTGTTCAAGTTAGCTCCTTTGACATAACCCTAGTATGTCAAAAAGTATGTCAGTGATCATTTCTATCTGGTACGACGAGGTGTTTGTACTTTTCCTGCCTGAGACCTGGGATCAGCCATTTCCTCAAGAGCTCTGGTTTCTTTTAGTGAGAAATTGTATTTCAAGTGTATTTCTGGTGCTAGGGATGCTCACTGGTACATAATTATTTATTTTATTTCATTTAACACACAGCAGAATAGTCTCAGAATAATACTGTCAATATGATTACTAATAACATTAAAAAAAGTATTTGCAATGCCCTCCCCATTCCCCCCCACCATTTTTTGGAGGGGTGTTTTCATGTGCATGGTACCAGCTGCTTGTGCTGCACACCGTTTTTTTTAACAGTTATACTCTATCTATCTTAGCCGAGCACACGGTCAGGACCTTGTTCAGTCTTAGTTCTTTACGATTAACTGTATATTTATATGGATGTCTTTCTAGTCATTTCTCATGGAAACAACAGTCCTTGAGTTCTTGCATACTGGAAACAGTCTGCATTCTTTACACTCCAAATTTTTTTTTTTTTTTGCGGTACATGGGCCTCTCACTGCCGTGGTCCCTCCCATTGCGGAGCACAGGCTGTGGACACGCAGGCTCAGCGGCCATGGCTCACGGGCCCAGCCGCTCCGCAGCACGTGGGATCCTCCCGGACCGGGGCACGAGCCCACGTCCCCTGCATCGGCAGGCGGACTCTCAACCACTGCGCCACCAGGGAAGCCCCCTACACTCCAAATTTTAAAGAAAGATCTAATTGACACTAACTGAACATAAAATGCACAAGTTGATGAACTTTGACATCAGTATACTCTGTAAAACCATCACTACAATCAAGGTAACAAATGAATCTCAAAGTGATGAAAGAAAAAAAAAATTCCAACCAAGAATACTCTACCTGGCAAAGTTACTGTTCAGAATTAAAGGAAAGGTAGTTTTCCAGATAAGCAAAAGCTAAAGGAGTTCACCACCACTAAAATGACCTTACAAGAAATGTTACAGGGACTTCTTTAAGCTGAAAAGAAAGGGTGCTAATTAGTAACAAGAAAACATATGAAAGTATAAACCTTCCATACGTTTTATACTCATAAGGCAGATATATATTAAAGGCAATGGATTAATTGCTTATGAAGCTATTATGAAGGTTAAAAAAAATAAAAACTCTAACTACAGTAATTAAAGACACACAAGATAAAAAGATGAAAAATGTGACAACAAAACATAAAAGGTGGGTGGGGGAGGGTAAAAATGTAGAGTTTAGGGACTTCCCTAGTGGTCCAGTGGGTAAGACTCTGCACTCCCAATGCAGGGGGCCCGGGTTTGTTCCCTGGTTAGGGAACTAGATCCTACATGCATGCCACAACTAAGAAGTCCGCGTGCTGCAACTAAGAGTCTGCATGCTACAACTAAGAAGTCTGCATGCCGCAGTGAAGATCCTGCATGCTGCAATGAAGACCTGGCATGGTGAAAATAAATAAATAAAAAATCAATATATTTTTTAAAAATGTAGAGCTTTAGAATGGGTTCAAACTTAAGTTGTAATCAACTTAAAATAGACTATTGATATGGGTTGTTATATATGTAAACTTCATTGTAAGGACAAAGCAAAAATCCATAGCAGATACACAAAAGATAACGAGAAAGGAATCTAAGCATACCATTAAAGGTCATCAAACCACAAAGGAAGAGAGCAAAAGAACTATAAAAAGCCAGAAAAAACCAAAATGGCAATAAGTACATACCTATCAATAATTACTTTAAATGTAAATGGACTAAATTCTCCAATCAAAAGACGACATAGAGTGGCTGACTGGATTAAAAAAACAAGAACCATCTGTATGCTGCCTATAAGAAACTCACTTCAGATTTAAGGACACACACAGACTGATAAAAGAAGGGATAGAAAAAGATATTCCATGCAAATGGAAACCAAAAAAGCTGGGGTAGCTATACTTATATCAGACAAAATAGACTTTAATACAGGGACTGTAATAAGAGACAAAGAAGGGCACTAGATAATGAAAAAGGAGTCAATTCAACAAGAGGATGTAACATTTGTAAACATTTATGCACTCAACACAGGAAAACCAAAATATATAAAGCAAATACTAACAGACTTAAAAGGAGATATAGGCAGCAATATGATAATAGTAGGGTTATGTCAATGGAGAGATCATCCAGACAGAAAATGGCCTTAAAGGACACATTAGATCAGAGGGACTTTACAGATATATAGAGAATGGTCCATCCAAAAGTAGAATACAGGCATACCTCACTTTATTGTGTCTTGTTTCACTGCGCTTGACCGATACTGAGTTCTTCACAAACTGAAAGTTGTGGCAACCCTATGTCAAGCAAGTTAATTGGTGTCATTTTTCCAACAGCATTTACTCACTTCCTGTCTGTGTGTCACATTTTGGTAATTCTCGCAGTATTTGAAACTTATTCATTATTACATTTGTTTTGGTGACCTGTGATGAGTGATCTTCGATGTTACTGATGCAAAAAGATTATGACTTGCTAAAGGCTCAGATGATGGTTAGCTTTTTCACCTATAAAGCATTTTTAAATTAAAGTATGTACATTGTTTTAGACATAATGCTATTATTGTACACTCAGTAGACTAGGAGAGTTTAAACATAACTTTTATGTGCATTGGGAAATCAGAAAATTCATGTGACTCCCTTTATTGTGATATTCGCTTTATTGTGGTGGTCTGGAACCAAACGTGCACTATCTCCATGGTATGCCTGGATACTTTCTTCTCAAGTACACATGGAACATTATCCAGGATACATCATATGTTAGGCCAAAAAGAGTCTTAATAAATTTAAGAAGACTGAAATCCTATCAAGCATCTTTTCTGACCAAAATGATATGAAACTAGAAATCAATTACAAGAAGAAAACTGGAAAATCCACAAATATGTGTAGAATAAACAACATGCTACTGAACAACCAATGGGTTAACAAAGAAATCAAAAGAGTAATAAAAAAAATACTTTCAGACAACTGAAAAATGGAAATACAACACACCAAAATTTATGGGATGCAGTAAAAGTAGTTCTAAGAGGGAAGTTCACAGAGATAAATACCCACCTGAAGAAACAAACAAAGAAACAAGATCTCAAGAACACCTTAACTTTATACCTCAAGGAACCAGAAAAAGAACAAATGAAGCCCAAAGTCAGTGGAAGGAAGGAAGCAACAAAAATCAGAGGAGAAATAAATGAAATACAGACTGATACCACAAAAATACAAAGGATCATCAGAGTCCACTATGAACAATAATATGCAAACAAATGACAACCTAGAAGTAATGAATAGATTCCTAGAAACACAGAACATTCCAAGACTGAATCATGAAGAAAGAGAAAATCTAAACAGGCCAATAACTATGAACAAAGATGAT